TTCGTGAGATACAAGATATTCAATCAATCAAGTATTTATTAACACCTACCAAATGCTGGCTACCAAATGCACAGTGGATAGAGCACCAGGCCTGGAGTCAAGAGGGCCTGAGTTCAAATTTGGCCTCAGATACTTACTAGCTGTGTGACCCTGGGCAAGTCACTTAACCTTGTTTGCCTCAGTTCCTCATCTATAAAATAAGTGGAGAAGAAAATGGCAAACCACTCCAGTATCTTTCCAAGAAAACCCTAGTTGGGGTCATGAAGAGTTGGACAGTACTGAAATGACTGAAGAACAAGCATCAACAACAAAACTATGTGCTAGGTCCAGTGAATACAAAGACCAAAAAATGAAGCAGTCTCTGAATACAAAGAGGTTATATTCCATTCTAGCTCCTTATTGTCCTTAACAGAGGTTAACTTACATGCTGCCATTATTTTCAAGATGGTCTTTTTTTTTCTTTTTCTTTTTGTGCTTATTATGAATACTGTAAGATGAGATGATCGAGAATCACACTTGAAACTTGAAAAGATGCTTCTTGTTGCCCTTGGTGATATCGAAATCAGCTTGGCCTGATTCTTTTTTTAAACCTCTCCAAAGAAAAACTGTAAGTCACCCTTCCATTTAGCTTCAAGTACTATTTATGTGCTAGTTTCAGTTTCAGAGAGCGAAGTAATTGATCTGAATCATTTCTTCCAATAGTATATCCGCTTGTCAATTACTGGACAAGGAGCTAACATTTAGAATTTCAACAGTTAAGCTAATGTTGATAAGCAGCAAAAAATAAACAAACACTGTGATTCTTAGCACTCTTTGCTATCATCCATCATTCTGCTTCCATCACTGCAGATCCTACAGAACTGAGGGGACTAAGGTGATTTTGTATTTTTCTTTGTTTTGTGACTTGCTATGGTCAAAGAGCTCATCAGTTAGTGGCCAGAGTTTAATGATTGATTAATTAATTATTATTAATTATTGTCATATTATTAATGTGCTTTTCTGTACTCAGCTAGCCTGTTACTTAGTATAATGTATACAGAACAGAACTCTTAGGCCAGAAGACCCAGGTTCAAGTCCCACCTCGGATATATATTAGCTGCATGACCTGGGCAAGTCATTCAACATGTCAATAATTTTTATAAGAGTTTCCACTTTAGGAGTTCCCTGTTGCTTTCTCTGTCCTTCTAATGATGCTATATGGTTGTGAACCATTTTGCTGTGTAGTTATTGCAGTCACATCTGCCTCTTTATAATCCCATTTGGGGTTTTCTTGGCAAAGATACTGGAGTGGTTGCCATTTCTTTCTCCAACTCATTCTACAGATGAGGAAACTGAGGCAAACAGGGTTAAGTGACTTGCCTAGGGTCACACAGTTAGTATCTGAGGCTGAATTTGAACCCAGGTCTTCCTGACTCCAGGTCTGGCACTCTATCCACTACAACACCTAGCTGCCCGTTTTTGTGAATCATAGCATACCATATTACCAATCAAAATCAATCAAAAAGGCTACATAAATAAATAAATGAAAAAACATTTAGTAAAATGCTCACTGTCTGCGAAGCACTGGGGATATAAACAGGAAGGCATTCTCTAATCCCAAGGAGTTGACATTCTAACGAGAGAGGCAATACATTGGGAGGTTTTAGCTACAAGTCAGATGGAAAGGTCCTATTGTCTTTGGGGTGCGTTGTTTCCACTGATAAAATCATATCTGTTTTTAATGTTAAATCATTTGGCAGTCCCAAGGACTTTGGTGCCTAGAACTTTCTATTGATGTCTTTAGTAGCTGTGCAGAGGGACTTATCAGGTCAAATCCCCCCAGGGGTTGTTTACTAGAGAGATGCCTTTAGGGGCTGTGCTCAAAGCAGGACTAGTATTCTGAGGAAGGCTACCATTTCCTTTGCTCTTGGGCTTACCTAGTTGTAGGTGGCGATGGAACAGTGGTAGTGAGGTAGGTGGGCTCCTTCTCCACAGAGATGAATCCCCTCAGTGATGGCATAGGGACCAGGCTGGAAGCAGGGCTGATGGTCTAAGGATAGGGGGCATTTCAGTTCCCCTGGCTCAGATTCCTGGGGAGTCTCCTTCAGGTTCTTATGAAATGTGGTTGTGGAGATGATGATCTCACCTAGTGCATGTCTCTTCCTGTCTCTCCCTCAAGGTACCTTGCTATTTCAGCTATGCTGGCTTGCCGGCCTGCTATGTGAGAGTAACAGTGAAAAAAATGAAACAGCTCCTCAAGGTGCTTCCATTCTGTCAGAGAAGACAACATATACAATTATATATAGAACATAAACAAATATTACATATATACACACATAATTGTGTATAATATGTACACATTATATATGTATATTATAAATGGTTAATGTATACACACATAATTAGTATGCATAATAGCTATGTAACATGAATATACATATATTAAGACACATAGAGCTTATATGCACATACATAGACACATACACATACATATATACATAACACACTGGGTTGACCCCCTGCGGTGGATTTATGGGAGCATATAAACGAGAATTCTAATGGAGGAAATTATGTGTGTGGGTGGCCATCTCTACCAAGGGAGGACAATACCACATCCATGAGAGGACGGATCTGCTGAAGTATTTGTTCCATGTATCCAGGGATACCTATCTTCAGGGCATCAGCCTAGTTCTTAATATTCAATGAAAAGGACAATGGCCTCCTTTATTTCTTATGGAGACAGCTTTCTCTAGGACTTCTTTTTTTTTTTTATTCCTGTCTACCTTATCCTGGTTGCCTAGCATAAGGAAAGTATTTCTTTAACCTATTTCCAAAAGCCTTGATTTTATCGATGTGGTTATGCTGAGACAGACCACAACCTGTTTACTCCATAGTAAACTTTATAAGTTTATAAGTTGTTAACTTATAACTTGATAAGTTGTTAACTTACAACTTTATACACTGTTAACAACTTTGTAAGTTGTTAGGACCAAAAATTAAAAATCGTTACCTAGTGGCCAACCTTCTGACAATGAACCTCACTGAGTTTACCTAAACCGGTGCTCTGACAACAACAATGATAAGTATTTATTAAGTGTTTACTATATACTAGGCACTACGGTAAGTACTTGAGATACAAAGAAAGGCCAAAAACATGGTCCTTGCTTTCGATAAGCTTACATTCTAATGAGGGAGGTAACCTGCAAGCAAGTATGTGCGTGTATAATATATACAGGGTAAATGAGAGATAATCTCAAAGCAAAAACACTATCAGACTTGGGGGGGGGTGGTAGCCTCCTGCAGAATAGCATTTGACCGGAGTCTTGAGGAAAGAAACCAGGAAAGCCAGGAGGCAGAAGTGAGAGAGGGAAGCATTTCAAGTATGGGTGATAACCAGTGAGAATAACCCAGAGCTGGGAGATGGGAGATGGAGTATCATGTTTGAGAAACAGCAACCAAGTCAATTATTGGCTCATAGGATGTAAGAAGAGGGAGTAGAGGGTGGAAAGGTAGAAAGGAGCCAGGTTCTGAAGGGTTTTATGCTTTCTTTTTTATCTCTGCCATCTTGGCTCCCCCCACCCCCAGTCAAAGGGCTTTAAAAGTTAAACAAGGGATTTTATATTTGTCTCTGAAGGTAATAGGGAGGGCAACTGTCACCAGGAGCCTAGAAGCCTTTCCAGCTTGACAGAAGCTACCGGAGTTTGCTCTCTGTTGGTGTAGTGGTAGTATTCTATTTGAATTTTTACTGGAGTAAACTAGTTGGTGGAATAGGAGCTAAATGAGAGGGTATCTTATTTTTATAGATTTCTTATCTTATAAACCTCCCAAAGTAGGGCAGTCATGGGATCCAGATCTCCTCACTTAGGAGATGCTATTGTGCTGAGTGATGCTGAATGCTGTTGAGTCATACATCTCTACTGTTGCCCCACTCCTCTCCTCCACCCTACAATGTGCAGAGGTAAAATTAAGCATGATTACTAGAAAGTAGGTGCCACCTGGTGGGAAGAGAAAGGTCAAGGTTGATGATGCTTATATTTTAAGGGTAGGGGCCAGAGGAAGGAGTGAGTACCCCTCCTTTCCTGTAGTAGTCTAATAGGTGAAATTTTCTACCTTATGTAAGCAACCCTCACAGAACCTGGCTAAAACATCACCTTTTCTTTAACTTCAGTATTAGAAGAAAGAAAATAAGTATTTGTAAAATATTGTTATGTTTATTAAACCACTCAGGTACCAGCTGTTGAACTTTAGGAAAGTCACTTAACCTCTGTTTGCCTTGCTTCCCTCAACTGTAAAATGAGACCTATGTTTCAGTATTGTTGTGAGAATTAATTGAGATAGTATTTGTAAAGCACTTAGTATGGTACCTGGCACATAGAAGGCACTATATAAATGCTAACTATCATTTGCTGTTATTATTGTATCATAAATGACGTTAGGAAATTCCATTCTTTAAAAGCTTACGTTTATTTTTAAAACTTTAGGCACAGACAGATTTTGAGGATCCCAATCAAAGCTGTTGGCAGAGGAAGTTAAAGTAAGAAACTACATAGAGATATATCTAAGGTACTACTTTTTTAAATGTACATTTTAATTGCAAAAAATTCTATTTTCTATAACATGTACCTATTTGTTTTGCGATTATGTAAGCCTCTTATGCACAGTAACACAAGGGAGGCTAATTTTCAAATCTCGCTGGAGTGAACCAAAGCCTGAAAGCAACTCTCATTCCAATCTAGAGATTGTTAAATGACTTGTATTGGGTGGTGGTTGTTATTGTTGTTGTTAGATTGTTTAATCTCGGTGAATATTTCAACAAGATCACCTGGACTTTCTAAACCAAATCAGAGCCAAGTTAAATATATAAATGAGACCCCTCTTTGTGTTGAGAGACAGAGCCAGAGACAGAGAAAGAAAGAGCCAGAGAGAAACAGAGGGGAATAGAGAGAAAATTTTCAATATTGTTTCATAGTTAAGTCTAAGGTCATCGACATGAGCTCACTTTCATTCTTCCCAATTTGCATGATCCATGCCTTGATAACAAATACACTCAGAATACAATAAAAATCAGCTTATCTTTATCTGGAGACAAAATTCACTACACATATAGCAAATAAGTAAAACTTAATGACAGTAGGAAACTTCCAAGGGTACACAACGCCAATTCTCGGGGCAACGATGAAGTTGGGGGGAGGAGAAAGGAGAGAGTGGAATACATTTACCAGATCCCCGTGGCATCAAGAATTAGGAAAACTGTAGAACTCCCTGCAGGGAGATCACTTCTTAAGTAGATTAGTAAACTAGACAAGGCTCCAACTGCTCGTGATTACTCTCAGCAGCATTCTCAGGGTAGAAGCATCCTTTATTTGCAATCAACGTGGTTCTGAGCCTCCCAGGGGCCCTCTCCTCTCCACAGAGGTCAAAGGTTCCAGCATTTCCATTTGTCTTGAGCCATTTTTCCCCTCCCATGATTCATCAGTTCCTCTTTTTATCTGGGAAAAAAATAATAAAAATATATATTTTATACATACACACACACACACACACACACACACACACACTTATATATGTAAGTACATCACATCATCCTATCATCCTCCTTGCTAATAAGGGGCTATACCCATACCCAGGAAGCTTAGTGACACAGTGGATAGAAAGCTAGGCCTGTTGCCAGGAAGACCTAAATTTAAATCCAGCCTCAAACACTTCCTAGCTGTGTGACTCTGGGCAAGTCACTTAGCCTCTGTTTGTGTCTGCTTCCTCTTTTGTAAAATAGAGATAATAATAGCCTCCTAGAGTTGTTGTGAGGATCAAATGAAATATTAGTAAAGTGCTTAGCACAGTGCCTGACACATAGTAAGCACTATAAAAAATAATATAATAATGACATAAATAACAACAAATGCTTCTTCCCTTCCCTTCTCCCTAGCTGATAAGGTGCTATACAAATATTCCCCAAATGTTATAAAAAGTTTGAAATTCTTGGGAGATTAATTTTATTTCACATATCCAACCTACATCCATGTCATCATCCCATGATGTCATTGGTCCTCTCCAAAAACGAAGGATGAACAGCAACATATGTATAGTAACATGCTATAATGTGATGCCATTAGTTGTGATGGGAAAAGCTAATTTGTCTTATCAGGAAGATTATATGTATGTATATGTGTGTAAGTGTAACATAAATGTAAAGATATCTACATGAATATATGTACATATGTGTAGGCTCATAAAATCATAGATTTAGAACTAGAAAGGACCTTTGAAGACATCTCCATGCTAAACAGCAGATTACAATGGCCTCAGGCAAGTGACTTCCTCTCCTTGCCCCCCAGTTTCTTCATCCATAACATCAGTAGATTGAGCCATAGGAGCCCCAAGGTCCCTTCCAACTTTGACATCCTGTGAACTCTGTAAACTCTAAGGCTGTAATTTGTCCCAAGGTTAGTCACTTTAATCTTTTCTTTTGCCATAGTTCTATTGACATCAGAAGTGGAAATGGTCTGTGAAGGACCTTGAATCTAGTCCTGGGGGGGCGGTGTCAGATCCTTCCTTCCCAAACACTTCCTTGTTCTTTGTCCACTCTACAATCCTCCCCAAACAAAGAGCTATTCTGATTCCATGCTAGACTGAGCTCCCCATTATGTGGCAGCCGCTGAACTCCAGTATTGCCTCAGAAATTCCATGTTCAGGAGGGGAGGATGGAAAGAGGTAATTAGGAGACAGGGCCTGGTGATAGTTGGGGAAGAATACTCTTGTTGTGTGAAGCAGATTTTCCTTTTTTTTTTTTTTAAATTTCTCTTCTCCACCCCCATCCTCCCCACCCCACACTGGACTTCTACCATCTATCACCCTTTCATAAATAAATAAATAAATAAATAACCATGGAGAATAAGAGGAACATAAGTCTGGAGTTTGGATGCATTTGGAATTATTAAGCTGTTTGTTTTGTTTTGTTTTTTTTTCACTAGGAAGGCAGAGCCCTAGGAATATCTGTGTCACAAAGAGCTGTCTAATGGTTTCCATAGATGTAAGCATACTGGTCCAAGAGCATGTCCTAATAGGGGTCTGCTTCATAGCAGACATTCCAGAGACTATACAGCTGATCTCACCATTTCACATTTGTGTGAGAAGCACCTGCCAAACAATACATCTATGCAAGTCTTTCCCCTTTGGAATCAAGGGCCTTTAATCACATTTAAATTTATATCCTATCATCTTATAAATAGCTTGTTTTTGCTTGCATATGCTGCAACATGTTAACACAAACTAGAAAATGAGACAGGCCAGACATGTAGCAAGTACAAGGGATAATTGATGGACAGCCTGCCTGCTGCACTGGCACCCATGGAATGTTAAGAAAACCTAGAGGAAGGATACAAGCATATTGAATAGACAGCCTGCAGAGGATTTATGGGTGAGCGTGGACAAAAATCACACAAGAGGAGAAAGAGTAGATGAGTTTTCATCTGTGTCTATGGAGGGAGCACCCATGTTGATGAAATCACAGATCTATTGAAGAAGTATTTAAGTTGTTTGTACATGCTCTCATATTTTAGCTAAAATAGTTCCTTTCCTTAAAAAAAATCTTAAAGGGTACTAGTAATCTTTTTAAAGCTTATTTTTATTGACAGCTTTTGTTTTTACATCACCTTTATTTCCAAGTATAGCCCTTCCTCTTCCCTAACCAGCAAGTCATGCTTTATGATAAAACAGAGAAAAAAAATCAATTCAACAAAACCAAGTGCCATATCAACCATGTCTGACAGTATAAAAAATATTCCACGTTCATTGTCTCCCACATTTTCTCAACTCTTCTCCAAGGCCAAGCTTAGTCATTGTTACTTACAAAGCATCCAGTTTCTTTTTTTTTTATTATTCTATTTTCATTGTTATTCCTTGTTCCATTTATGTTGTCCTACATCAGTTCATATAAGCAATACTTCTCTGAATTCTTCATGTTTATTTATTTGGAACATAACTTAGCTGTGTCCTACCCAGGCTGGGTAAGGAAAAGGCAGCCATATGCTACATTGGTCGTTGTCCTTTGTTTTCAAAGAGGACCAAAATGACATCACTATGCTAGAGTCAGGTTCCAGCATGTCCAACTGTGGCTGATCAGACTAATAGGAACTCAGAATGCTCTACCACTGTAGAGCTATAAAACATTTGGGGTGATATTCTAAGTTTGCACATCTTGTGTTTTCTTTGAGCTATTTCAATTCTGCTTGCTCATAGAGCCTCTCTGATGAGGGCACTCCATGCTGGGCGATCCTGTGCCAGTGTGTTCCATGTCACACAATTAATTCCAAAGTTCTTAAGAGAGACCTTGGGAATGTCCTTGCATCGCTTCTTCTGACCACCATTTGAACGCTTGCCCTGTGTGAGTTCTCCATAAAATAGTCTTTTTGGCAAGCATACATTTTGCGTTCAAACAACGTGGTCAACCCATCAGAGTTGCACTCTGTGAAGCACAGTGTGAATGCTCAAATGCTATGTGCAGTGTATGAGAAAGGAAAGGTAACTTTAGACGGGTAGAGAGAAAGCTGATGTGATGCTATAGACCTGTGTGAGGGGTAGAGTTGGTGCCAAAGCTTCTTGGGATACAAACACTCATGGTCCCAGGTATTCCTTTATTCCTATATTCCTTTATACCTTTGTTACTTCAAATATGTAGCAAAAGCTGGCTGCTCCACATGGCCCTGATTTCTATCTTGCCTCCCCAGAAACTTCAGAGATGAGAGCAGACTCATTCTTTTGGTTATTCTGTGATTCCGTCTTGTACGTATCTAAAGAGGTCATTCATGTGTGTATATTCTGATTTATTCTAATATGTCAAACTTCTCCAATTTCTAATTACTGCCATGCTTGGATATATGGTTTTACCTGCTATTCGCTATTTGTGTAACTAATATTTGATGGGAAGGAGTTAAGGCAGTTGATGTAAACTTGAGACTATCTTCCCCCTTAAGAGCAACCAAGGAGGTGACTTTCTTTCTGAACTCCTAAAAATCCTACCCCTAGACAAGTAATATTTGAGGAAATAGATTGATATAATTCTAATCTAGTACTTATCTCAGAGACTAGAGAAAAGAGTACCCAGTCTTTTCATGTTTCTGGGACCTGTCTGCCCCTTTCCATTAACACTCTCTCCCTCATAGCATGCTGGTGGTAACATAGGCATTGCCTAGACTCTCCCCTCCTTGAGAGAGAAGTCAAATCTCATATCATATTTATCCATGCCTCTCAGATGCCACATCTGTAAATTCAGACAACCTAGGTCGACATGCATGTCTTAAATAGGCACACATATCTTATACAACATAAATAGTTCATCACATTTATGGTGTAGGCAACTGCACAAAGTAAGAACCGGTAAACCCTAAAATTTCCACCCATCTCCTCTTTTCCTCTTAATGAAGAGTATTACAATAGGAAAATTAATGAAATAAATATTCTCCTGTACATGGTAGCAATACCAGTTTTCCACAGTGTTTGAAGATACAAGGGTAGATTAGAACCCTAAAAGCATCATGGTCCCTTCGCCTCACTTTCACAAGGCAAATCTATGAGACTCTAAAATTAATTGTTTTGGTATATGTCAAGTTTATGGCTTTAAGCTATACTTTGTATAGTCAAATTATATTAAAACACGAAGATATTCATGACCCTCTGCTAAGGTCTTTCTCTTTCACTTTAAAGAGTGGAAGACATTGTCCATAATTTGAAGTGAGCTGAGACATCAGGAGAAGACTCTGCAATATTGTTTGACTTTCCCACAAGTCAAGAGATTTACTGGAACCTGCAGCCTCAAGACCACAAGTGGCCCTGTAGGCCCTCAATAAAATAAAATAAATCTGAATAAAATGATTTTTGTTCTGTGAAGTTTGGATTCCATCAAAGAACTGCACTTGAGGACCTAGAGGGTTGCATGTTGCCTCCAGGCCAGCATGTTCCCCACTCCTGCTCTAGGCAAATAAATTTTTCCCACAAAAAAGAGAATCTTTTGATGTTGCTGTTGAGTCATTTCAGTTGTGTCTGAGTCTTTGTGACTCCATATGAAGTTTTCTTGGTAGATATACTGGAGTGGTTTGCCATTTTTTTCCTCCAGCTCACTTTACAGTTGAGGAAACTGAGGCAAACAAAGTTAAGAGAATTTCTTAGGGTTCACATAGTTAGTAAGTGTCTGAGACCAGATTTGAACTCAGGAAGGTGAATCTTCCTCACTTCAGACCCAGCACTCTATCCACTGCATCATCTAACTGTCCCACTGCAATTTATAACCCATAGGTCCAACATCTACGTTAAGACCTAAAGATAATATAGGATAAGAACGTGATCAGGAAAAGTCTAATGACGGAAGCATTCTGATTCAGCCTCTCCTTGACTAGCCTCCCATGGAATGGGGCATCAGGGCTGCCTCGCCTACAGTTTCTTCCTCCTCCTGAATCCTTTTCCTTCTTTTATCTCTATTACTCTAAGATTGAGA